GGACGAGTCGGGGGTAAAGCCCGGAGATCCTGGTATGTTCAAACATTATCAGGCGGCGGTGAAGAGAGTCATGGCTGAATTGGACGACGACGAGTTGGAGAAGGCGAAAGAAACAGCGGAAGAGTGGTCCAACAACTGTCCGCCTCCGAAGATACAAGCACAAGTCGCTCGTAAGAAGGGTCCGGCATATATGGAGCACTTTTCGAACGAGATGTGGAGGCAATGTGGGATGAGAGTGTTTGTGATGTCGGCTTGGAAGAATGAAAAGGGAGAGGTGCTGTTCGGGATGTGAGTACATTTACCCATTGATGCGGATCTTTCATCTCAAAATATTCATGCAGGCATGATGATAACGAGGCCTTAGGAGATGGGGACAGCTTCATGAAGACAAAGGACTGGGAGGACATTGAGCCAGTGTGGCAGGAGTACACACAGGAACAGTTCGGTGAGTGTTTGAACCATGTATACCAGATTGAACATGTTGAGCATCACGATGATAGGCGCCGGGGCATGGGATGGAGGACGTCAGGTCAAGGGAGGTCGAAAAAGAATTCGAAAACCAGCTTTTGAACTCGAAATGGACAGGGAAGGTATGCCGTTCCTTCCTGACATCACGGACACGAAACTTAAGGAGAAGAAGGCCATAGTGAGGGCCTTTCTTACATCGCACTATCGTGAGTTTCTCGTCGCATCATCCAACAAATTGTTCAATGCATGGACATAGGGATATGTTCCAGGAAGGACAAGGTGGTTGTGCCATGGAGTGCCATCATACAAAGTCAGGATGACTTCATGGCCTGGACATATCTTCTGGCGGATGTTGACTTGAAGGAGCCTTCCAAGCTGCAAAATTGGGACACAACTGCCTTGCTCCATTTCTGGCGTGCTCGGCAGGAAACAGGTGAAGGTCCCACATTTCTGTTCAAAGCATGGAAGAACAAAGATGGGGACATGGTACCATCTGTCATATCTGGCAAGTCGCCCTCTCCTCAGACTTGTATAGTGAGAAAGCAGCAGAGGGTTACCATCCAAAGGCCTCGGGATTCATTGACAGAAGCCGAGAGTGATAAGGAGAGTGCCACTCATCATACGGAGGATGATGTGGATGATGACATGGCTGACGGGAGACATCTGCTGAAGAAACCCAGGACGGGAGGTCCTACACCCAAAGGGACAACAGTCCCATGTGCAATTCCAAAGCCTCGCCCGGCCAAACCAGCCAACAAAGGTGCATTACTGACATCATGAATGGGCGACCTCCTTGCTGGGTTAACTGAAGACGCGACCGGCAAGGTTAGAGATGATGTTGAAATGGAAGAGAGTATCACGCCACCGGCACCAAAAAGGAGGCAGGGCAAGACAGTCACGGTTGAACCATCCACAAGGACGACCCAGAGTAAGTTGCAAATGCCAGTAGACAGTACACCTAGAGTAACCAGAGCACAGGGACGCACTTAATGTAGATATATTGAGCCCCTTCAGTGACAAATTCCGTATTATACGGGCCACCCGACCTACATAATATCCCGTATGAGACGGGCCAGCGGATTATGGGCCCATGTTGTGTATATTCTCGATGATGACGGATGGGCCAGGACACATATTATTTCCGATGGAGACGGGTGGGCCCATGTATGCCAATGATATATATATCCTTGATGTTGACGGATGGGCCGGGGGAATATGATCATTCATGGAGATGGGTGGGCCCATCAGGGTAATATGTAGAGTAGGATATTATAGACAGCTGGGCTGAAGAGAGATGTAAGGCAAATATTGTTATATAGACGGGCTGGCCGACAGGGGTGTATTACATATATGGGTGGGCCGAGGTAGGGGAATATTACATAGATGGGTGGGCTGACGCGGGGTGTATTACATATACAGGTGGGCCGACATAAAAAGTATTACATATATGGGTGGGCCGACAAAAGGGATATCAAATAGACGGGTGGGCCAAGGTGGGGTATAATTATATAGACGGGTGGGCCAACATAGGATGTATTACATAGACGGGTGGGCCGACGTGGGGGATAATACATAGATGGGTGGGCTGATGTGGGGGAATTGTACATAGATGGGTACATATATGGGTGAGCCTAGATACGTATAAATGTCAAATTTTCAGTGCAAAACCCCAAACCGAGATTTACCAACCCCCGAACCCCGAAATTGTGGACTGCCGGGTGTTGGGTTTCGGGGTTCGGGGGTCCCGGAACTCGGAACTCGGTATGTGAGACAACAAAAATATATTTCAAACACGGGTAAGTCAAATTTATTGTAGATCAAATTTTATTGATCTCCCCAAATTTCCCAAGTCCCGAGCGCCGACCCCCGACCCCCGAGACCCGGCAGTCCACAATTTCGGGGTTTGGGGGTCCCGGAACTCGGGACTCAATATGTGAGACGACACAGATATCTTTCAAAAGTTTGTAAATCAATTTGTTTGTAAATCAAATTTATTGTAGATCACCCCCGAACCCCAAAATTGTGGACTGCCGGGTCTCGGGTTTCGGGGTTCGGGGGTCCCGGAACTCGGGACTCAATATGTGAGACGACATATCTTTCAAAAGTTTGTAAATCAATTTGTTTGTAAATCAAATTTATTGTAGATCAAATTTTATTGATCTCCCCAAATTTCCCAAGTCCCGAGCACCGACCCCCGACCCCCGAGACCCGGCAGTCCACAATTTCGGGGTTCGGGAGTTGGTAAAATGTTTATGGATACACGAAAGGTTGATTCAAACATGTTTGAAAAATGTCTTTCATCTCAAAAATCGAGTCCCAAGTTCCGGGTTAGTGCTGAAGCTTGAAACTTGAAATCAGTGGAAAATGAAATCTTGCAACAATGTACACATGAAGATGTTTCATTTCCTTTGACAATTCACCGAGTGTCTTGTACTAACCTGACAACACAGTCTGGGCTTCAGGCTTCAGGGCTCGGTACATGACACTCGGGGAATTGTGAAATTTCTATTTTCTTGGACATTTCACTGAGTTCCGAGTTCCGGGCGCCGAATTCCGAGTTCCGAGCGCCGAGCTCCGAGTGCCGAGTGCTGAAGCTCAAAACTTGAAATCAGTGGAAAACGAAATCTTGCAACAATGTACACATGAAAATGTTTTATTTCCTTTGACAATTCACTGAGTGTCTTGTACTAACTCAGGGAATTGTGAAATTTCTATTTCCTTAGACATTTCACTGAGTTCTGAGTTCCGAGTGCCGAGTTCCGAGTTCCGAGTGCCGGATGCTGAGTGCTGAAGCTTGGAACTTGAAATCAGTGGAAAACAAAATATTGCGACAATGTACACATGAAAATGTTTCATTTCCTTTGACAATTCACCGAGTGTCTTGTACTAACCTGACAACACAGTCCGGGCTTCAGGCTTTGGGTTTCGGGGCTCGGTACATGACACTCGGGGAATTGTTTATGGAAATGAAACATGTTCATGTGTACATTGTTGCGAGATTTCATTTTCCACCGATTTCAAGTTTCAAGCTTCGGCACTCAGCCACTGGTCGGTAGTCAATATAGGCAAATGGTAATGAAAAATGAATGTTGTTATTACGCTTAACTTCCTTACTGAAGGTTGTAGTCCGAGTCTAGGGGAGTGTATTGGTAGTCTTTTCTTGTCCATCAGTTATCATTTAACCGAGATATAAGCTAAAGAAATCTGAAACATCGGCAATAATGAAAAATGAAAGTTATTATTATGTTTAAGTTCCTGAACAAAAGTTGTGGTCCGAGCCAAGGTGAGTGTATTGGTAGTTTTTTCTTGTCAATTGGTTATCTCGTTACTCAGTACTCGGTACAAGGGAATCAGTACTCGGTATTTGGTTCTGATACTCAATACCCGAGAATCAGTAGTCAGGTACTCGGTACTCGGTACTGATACTTGGTACCCGAGAATCAGTAGTCAGGTACTCAGTACTTGGTTCTAATTCTCGGTACCTGTGAATCAATAGTTGGGTACTCCAGCCAATAGTCCCGAGTCCCAAGTACTGATACTTGGTATTCAGTAGTCAGGTTTGGAACTTGGGTCTTGGTTTGGTTATCATTTGACTGAGATATTGGTAGGCAATATTGGCACTCGGAGCTCGAATACCGACTATCAACTATCAAGTGTCGGGACTTGGTAATCGGTAGTTGAGACTTGGTGCTTAAATGGATATTGCATATATACATAAAAATACAAAATATGTTCCTATGTGTTCATTTCTAGGTGAATAGACTTTGAAATTATATCTCAATCATCTATTCAACAATAGAAACAATGTATCAGGAGCTCAGGACCATAGGGTAATCCTTTATTGTATAGTGTACCTCCCCCTCTTCTGGTGGTTCACCTGCTGGGGTTTTTTCCCTGTAGGACTGGACCTCAAGGACTGTAGGGAGTCTATTCCTGAGCATATTCGGAGTAGATATATCATATAACCAGCCCAGGACACACAGGATCCTTTTCCAGGAACAAAGCATAGACAATTGCACTTGTGACATTTTTTCACGATTTTCAGTATCTTGCCCTTGCATCCATGATCCAACCTTTTAATATATAATGAGCATAGCTTATATTCTTGCTTCTTATGACCAAGATTAGCTCACAATAGGCTGGAGTTTGTGAGCTAGTGTGTATACTTGCCATTTCGCCTGATAAGGGGCCCATGCCTTCAAAACATTGAATCTTCATAATCAGAAACCTGGGGTACATTTCAAATATCTTAAGTATCATAGACATAAATTTACAGACAAATCAACCAAGAATTGAGTACTGAGGAAGTGAAATGGGTAAGAAATTGAGTGTGGGAAACTTCAAAGACCCAAAGCATCGAAAATGGTTAGTTGAGCAGTGGTAGGACTTTAATGCTGGGTCAACTCATATTTTCACTATATCCCTTCTACCCACCCCCTACCCTCAGGGCAGTAGGCAGTATGGGTTCCTTGGGTAGTTTACAATCTATCCTACATATTTGTAATGATATTTTTGGCCTGAATCATATATAAATGTGACTTTGTATAAAAGATGTCTATTGTCACTCTCCACACATATGTCATTTTGCCTATCATTACATCAATCCTTCATGAATCTTTCTAAGCTTTTAAGCTATTATAATGGATGTATATGGGTGTTATTCCAGGTCTCTGATCACATCACAGGCTTGTTATGTTGGATATCTCGACATAATGTGCAAGTCTCGCTATTAATATTCATTCTTTTATCTTTAGACTCACTTACTGCACACATGTATTTCATTTGTCATTATTGATGTTTCGGATTTCTTTAGCTTATATCTCGGTCACCTGGTAACCAATGGACAAGAAAAGACTACAAATAAACTCACCTAGACTCGGACTACAACCTTCATTAAGCTGACTACTGATTCCCGGGTACCGAGTATCAAAACCAAATACTGAGTACCAATTACCATGTACCGAGTACTGCATAATGAGTAACAAGATAACCAATTGACAAGAAAAGACTATCACTACACTCACCTGGACTTGGACTACAACCTTCGGTAAGGAAGTTAAGCATAATAACAACTTTCATTTTTTCATTATTGCTGATGTTTTGCTGAATGACAAGGAAAGACTACCAAGACACTCACCTTGACGTGGACTACAACTGTCATTTTTCATTATCATTTGCCTATATTGACTACCGAGTCTCGAGTACCGACCACTGACCACCGATCATCGAGTACCGAGTACCGAGTGCTGACAAATACAATTCCCAAGTTATTTGAACCCTACACCAATGGATAATACATACAAATACAATTCGTGTCCATTTGAAGTACTGGGTTTCAGGTTTCGACACTCGACACTTGGTGATTTGTGCAATGAGTGAAAAATGGACATGTTGTGTACATGATTTTGGGTTTCGGGCTTCGGGTTTCGGCCCTCGGCACTCGGAACTCGATGATCTGTGTAATGTAAATGAACAATGAACATGTTGCACACCAGGTTTCGAGTTTTGGGTTTCGGCACTTGAAACTCAGTGATTTGTGCAACAAGTGAAAAATGGAAATGTTATATACATATTTTCGGGTCTCGGGCTTCGGGCTTCGGGTTTCGGCACTTGGCACTTGGCACTTGGTTATTTGTGTGATATAAATAAAAAATCAACATGTTGCACACTGGGTTTCAAGTTTCATGCTTTGGCACTCGAAACTCGGTGATTTGTGCAGTGAGTGAAAAATGGACATGTTGTGTACATATTTTCGGGTCTCGGGCTTCGGGTCTCAGCCCTCGGCACTCGGAACTTGATGATCTGTGTAATGTAAATGAACAATGAACATATTGCACACCCGGTTTTGAGTTTTGGGTTTTGGCACTTGAAACTCAGTGATTTGTGCAACAAGTGAAAAATGGAAATGTTGCATACATATTTTCGGGTCTCGGGCTTTGGGTTTCGGCACTTGGCACTTGGCACTTGGTTATTTGTGTGATATAAATGAAAAATCAACATGTTGCACACTGGGTTTCAAGTTTCATGCTTTGGCACTCGAAACTCGGTGATTTGTGCAGTGAGTGAAAAATGGACATGTTGCGCACATATTTTCGGGGTCCGGGGTTCGGATTTTGGCCCTCGGCCCTCGGAACTCAATGACTTGTGTAATATAATTGAACAATGGACATGATGCACACTGGGTTTCGGGTTTCGGCACTCGAAACTCGGTGATATGTGCAATGAGTAAGAAATGGACATGTTCCATACATATTTTCGGGTTTCGGCACTCAACACTCAGAACTCGATGATCTGTGTAATGTAAATGAACAATCGACGTGTTGCACACCGGGTTTCGAGTTTTGGGTTTCGGCACTCGAAACTCGGTGATTTGTGCAGTGAGTGAAAAATGGACATGTTGAACAATGGGTTTCAGGGTCTCGGGTTTGAAAAATAGCATAATAACAACTTTCATGTTTTCATTATCATTTGCCTATATTGACTACCGAGTCCGATAAGGGACCCCTTGGATGATCCATTGCTCAATGAAATACTACCTGATTGGAAGTGTGCTGGTTATCAGATATTCATTTGTCGACTCCCGGGTCCTGGAACTCAGAAGTCGGTACAGTTGACCCAAATTTGGGTGGTCGGAACTTGGCGTCTCATAGGGCAACACAAGCTTTGCACCCCGGATTCCAAATTCTGCAAGACAACCTGTCTACCATCAAAGGCCATGTCAGGAGATCACCTGCTGCTCCGGGAACTCGGTAACTTTGATTTATTACCTCCTCTGATTTGGTTGATGTACAACTACCTCAGCTCCATCATGTCTACAATTATGATACACATGGGCCCACCCATCTATATTTTATACCACCCTCGGCCCACCCATCTAATACAACATCCCATACAACACCCTCGGCCCACCCGTCTAATTAATATGCATCTGGGCCTACCCGTCTAATACAATATTTTATAATACCCTCGGCCCACCCGTCTAATTTAATATGTGTCTGGGCCCACCCGTGAATGTGATAACAAGTACCTACCCATCTATCTCATACACATCTACCTTAATACACCCATCTGCATAATATCCAACTACCTCGGCCCACCCGTCTACCTAATATTCATATACATCGGCCCACTCATCTACTCTATATATTCCCTGCATGGGCCCACCCGCCTCCATCGGGAATAATTTCCCTCCCGGCCCATCCGTCATAGTCGAGGATATTTTTATCATGGGCCCATGGTCCGCTGGCCCATATCATACGGGATATTATGCATGTCCATTCCCTCGTATTATACGGAGATAGGTCACTGTAATATGTGGCAGATTAGGCTGTGCAAGACCACAACATTTTATATTGCTGGTTACTTACTTCAAGTAGTGTCCAGCAATTGTTGTCTTGTTACAGCGTTGTCAAGCACATGCCTGCATTCAAAGAACAACAGTAAATACCATTGTGGACAAGGGCAGCAAGTACGTGTAAGGCTGCTACCAAGATTGCATCATCTGGGATGGGTCAAAAGGCATGCAGTTTGTCAAGTGGAGCTGTCTGCATCAGAAAATGAGCACTGAAGGAAGAAGAAGTACACAGTGTCTCCAGCAGCCAATATAACTGATCGAGGATCAGGTCCGGAACGACTCGTTGAGAAATAAGACATGTGCCTACTGCATGTAGCGTCAAGGCATGTATTGTTTATAGAAACCTGTACTTATCCTGTATTATGGCCGTATATGGCTGTACAAATACGGCAACATATGGTACTTTGATACCCATACACCATAACCATCAACTGAAGGCCAAAACAGCCAACGGTACAGATACAGTGACTGTATTACAGCCCTACTCAGACTGTACACTATGTAAAGTTTCAACCATGAGTTCTGTACAACCTTTATCACTTGCTGCTCAAGATACAATTGAGAATCTCGCAATGGACTTTACGAAGGCCCTCTCAATGACACAATCACTGTCACACCTTTGAAATTGCTGCAGCGAGATCATGTACGCTAAAGATACAACACTTTTACTCACTCGAGGCATTAAATTTGTCCTTGTAATAATAGGTTCAGGGGTTCAAGCAGTTTGTCCTAATCAATTACTAGTGCTCTGGCATGATGTACTGTACTTTTCATGGTAAACAAGTAATGTTACCCAAAGTGGCATACCGGCATCTGCCAAATTTCAAACTCCTTGCTTCGCCTGCCAAATCACTCCGAGTTTGACCAGTCTGACTACATCAATAAATTCTCACCATCTCAAATTGACGCATAGTTGGTTATGAGTCTAATTCCCTCTGTGCCCTTGGCAACTTTCTCAATGGATGACTACGCTATGTTTGCATCCGGTTATGGGTTTGTTGAAAATAACTTGTCCTCTTTCCTCATTTCTAGGATCGAAGATTCTTATGCATTGAGCAACTCCTTTCATCCAGCATGAGCTCTGACTCTTGCACTGTATGACAGTCATTGCCTGCCGGACTTCCCTTATACTCAAGCATCTGGCTCTTTCTCTGCCATCATACAATTGCATGCCCAATCACCACAATTTGATACCGCAGAGGTCAACTGCCAGTGCTGGCATTCTTGGTAACTTCTCAACTCACTGTTTTCATCGTGGGGGTGCACAGTACTGGTTCATGTTTGCTCCTGTAGGCCAACGATGGACACTTGCTAAAGTCCACTGGTGGGGTGGATGGGCTGAAGGCGAGCATGTACGTGCTTCATGTTCTTAAGACTGACATTGGACTGACCTTTTTTTAAAAATTCCTTAACTTGAAGCATGATACACTCGTTCGCTACCTCCTCGATGAACTACATGCCTATGAAACTAACTACAGTGATTCTCTTGCCCCCATCTCCTGTGGTGCTAATGTCTCCCTCACTGGTGAACATGCTCTTGCGAGACCAGCATCCACTGAAGAACTTCATATGGTCCATGTATCTGTTGCGGCAGATGTCAATTGCCTGTGCGACAACATCAGTTTGGTCAATAACTCACTGCGCTCGCTAACAAATGTAGTCATGCAGGCTGCCTGCACCACTGCAACATCCTGATTCCTCATGATTCTCTGTAATATCCAACTCGTCCCGCACACCAACTCCACCCTACACTCCACCTGTTGGAGGAGTGAGTGTCACAACTGCCAGCGCCCAGCCACTTTTACTATCTTGGCCTGTTGCGAGTGAAATCCCTACCTCACATCCACCATCAGCCTGCATCAGTTCACAGCAACTTCCTACACCCAGCCTCATGATTCCACGAGTGCCAGTCTCACGTCCAAACGGCCTTACCAACCCAAAGAGCAAGTCCTGGAAGGACATTGTCACACATTGGCTTGTCAGTGATCCTGACCAAGGACTGACGACACTGCTGAAGGATTGGCCAAGGGAGTGGTACCAAGGTGCCAATCAATGGTTTGCATCAAAGTATCACCAGAGGGCGACCATCACATTGGAATTCATTAATCAGTAAGTTGATGCTGACACTCACTCCACTGGCATGCACATCGCATGCTCACCCTTTGTTTCATCTCTAGGTATGATTCAAATGAGGCATGCTTCCTCGCAGCTTATCCAGAGGCTGAACTGGGGCACACACAATTGTTAAAGGCTGTCAATAAGGCATGCACGGCATGCGGGGAGTGTCTCTCACAGCAAGTGACATTCAGCGCCAAGGTGGGTATCACCAGCAGTTGCCAAGACCTTGAAGGCACTGTCATCAATCGAAAGCAAAGAAACATTGAAAGTTCCTCCAAGATCTATCATAGATAATTTGAGACTCACCACCCTTCTTATTGGTGCTAGCAGCAGTGGTGGGCTTGTTAATGATACAAAGAATATTTAACCCAGCAATTGTACCAGCATCCTTGGTGGCTCGATTCACTACTGCATGGGTGACCTTCTTGCCAAGAAAGGCCTCCATGGTCTCCTTCATCTTCATCAGAATCATGGCAATAATCTCCTCCAGAGCAAATTCCAAGTCATCCATTTTTGCCAGGCAAATGAGTCGAAAACAGTGTTAGTTGAAATATTTGAATGGTAACTGATTTCAAGTCATCCACTTTCGACACAGGCAAGTGAGATGTTTGGCGTCGAAAACAGTGTCAGTTGGATTTGAATGGTGTATGATCTAACAGATGGAAATGCTCAGAGGTTTGGAACAAACAACTAATATTATTAATACCTAACAGACAGAAATGCTGAAGAATCTATGGTAAGACACGGCAGGATAACGAGAGAGTAGGAAAACAACCTCAGAGGTTTGGAACAAACGACTGAGGTATGGAAGAGCGAAATGGAAACAATATATAGACTGACACACGTGACAGAACAGAAAAAGGAAATGCATATGAGAAGATGACATCATGACCATGATTCAACACACCCCCACAACAATACATTGTTGACACTAACGCGATATGAGGGACAGACCAGCTTGATGCTGAAGGTAAAGGGGACGAGGCAAGCACTTGGTAAAAATATCGGAGACATTCTTGTGAGTGGAGAGCCACTCGGGTTGAAAGGTGCCGTCCTCGATATGCACGCAAATGAAGTGGTACCTCAGATCGATGTGTTTCGTGTGAACGTGGTTCACGGCCTCTTCAGACAGCGCAATGGCCCCGGCGTTATCTGTGAATAGACGAAGGGGAAGAGTGAAAGGAATCTTCAAGCATTTGAAAAACGACACCAGCCAAAGCCCGTCCTGAATTGCAGCCATCAAGGCCATGTATTCAGCTTCGGTAGATGACAACACGTGAGTGAGTTGTTTCTTTGAGGAGTGAGAGACGGGGCCACCGTTGAAGAACCAGACATAACCCGTGATGGATATCCGATCCTCTGGACAACTCGCCCAGTCCAAATCACTGAAGCCATGTAGGTCAGCAATAGCCGTCACACCCCCATAGTGTGTGCGCAGTGTGATAGTGCCTGATAGGAAATGTAGGACGTGTTTAGCTGCCACGTAATGACGATGTTCTGGCGAGCTGTTGTGCTGAGCTAACTTCATGACAGTGATGGCGATATCGGGGTGTGTGTACATTGTGAGGTAAAGTAACTTGCTTATGAGTTTCCGATACTCAGTGGCAAGATTTTTGATGTGGGGATGGATGTCAGTGTCGTGACCAAATGGAAAGTGAGGGTCCATAGGCAGAGTGACCGAGTTGCAACCTATCATTCTGTGTTCCTCCAGCAGATAGTTAACATAGTCTGTCTGGTGCATCCAAAGCTCACATGTTGTGTGGTTGCATTCAAACTGGATGCCGAGGTGTTTGGACATTGGACCAAGATCGGTAATACCAAATCTCTGCGCTATTTGACCCTTGATCCATACAAGGAAGGGACGGTTACTGGCGGCTGCAAGCCTGTCGTCAACGTGCCAAGCAATAATGCAAATTATATGTTCACCCTCGCCATTGGTGTGATCAGCTTCAACTCGGAGGAAGCCTAAATCAGTGGGGACTTTGCGCAGAAGTTCATACCAGTTGTAAGCTGCCTGTTTCAATCTGTATAGAGATGAGAGGAGGTGACAAACGAGTGAGCCAATATCGGGCGCGAAGTGCTCAAAACACGGGGGTTGATGCATATAAATGTCCTCCATTAACTTTCCCCACAGGAAGGCACATTTGGCGTTGAACACGTCCAGTTCCCAGTTGTTTCATGCGGCTAGGGCAGAGATTACACGAATGGACACTGCCTTTGCAACGGGGGCAAACATTTTGCCGAAATCTATGCCTGGCACCTGGGAAAAGCCTTGAGCCACTAGGCGTGCTTTGAAGACTGATCCGCCTTTCTGATCCTCTCTGAATTCTAGTACCCAATGGCAACTGATTGCCCGCCAATTCTCAGGTAAAGGAACAAGCTCATAGACGCCCATTTCCGACATGAGGTTCATCTCACGTTTCATAGCTGCTAACCAGGAGTCTCAGTCTGAACGTCACATTGCTTTGTCATAAGCGTTTGGCAGGATTTTCATATTATAGCTAGCTAATTGCGGATTACATCAAGAATCACTCCAAATTAAGAGGCAAGCTTGCTCTGCAATGATGAGGTTGGCTAGAGCGTGCGGAAAACCGACAATATCGGGGTCAGGACGGATCATCTCCTCCTCGCCATCAGCATCATCTGCGAGAGGATGAGTAGGAGCCGGCAGAAGTGCAGGATGAGGTAAGATGAGAATAGGAGGTACAGGGGCGCTTAAATCGTCTGATGGAGGTACACCTTGAATCCAAGCTTGTCTCAGGTCCCTCTGACGATGGAGACGTGCAGTGTCATTGGCAAGCTGCTCGTGATATAGGCGACCCCGATCAGTGGGGTTCTGTGTGCGTCCAGATCACCGTGGAGGACATGGAGGAGGAGGTGCTGGTGTAGCAGGAGGGGTAGAAGGAGGGATGGAAGCGCATACAGGGACTGTGGAGTTGCCATTGTCATCATCATCACTGTCGACAGCGGGGAAGGGATGACCATCAAAGGTCTCATCAAATATGACATCTCTCGAGTTAAAGAAAGCACCTGTGACAGAATCTCAGCACCGCCAGGCTTTAACGCCCGGCAGGTATCCCATAAATATCGCCTCGCATGATCTAGGCCCCAACTTCTCCTGCAACTCAGTGGGAATACATACAAAACACCGAGCACCAAACACTTGAAGATGTTCAACATTTGGTTTCGAGCCGTGCAATTGCTCATAGGGCATGATGCCGGATGGAAGGGAGTGTGATTCAGTCCTGTTGAATAGGTAAGCTGCACAAAGCGCGGCTTCACCCCAAAGGTTGTGTGGCAGGCGCGCATGATCCAACATTGTGTACATACGTCCTTCAATGGTACATATCACCTTTTCAGCCTTCCCGTTCTGTTGATGTGCGTAAGGGGCTGACAGTTGGTGCACAATCCCAGCCGATTCAAGTTCCTTAGTGAATGACGCATTCAGGAACTCACCTCCGTTGTTCAAACAAAAAGTTTTAACGTGGAGTCCTGATTGATTTTCCCAATGAGCGTGTACTAACCGCCAAGCATCCAGAGCTTGATCTTTCATAGCAAGGAGTTGAAGATTCAGGACATTGGTGTGATTGTTGAGAAAGACGATCAAGTATCGCTTGTTGTGTGGTGTGATGACGGGAATGGGACCACAGAGGTCAGTGTGAACGAGTTCTAGAAACTGAGTCACTCGAGCAGTTTCTGAAGGTGGGTGAGGATGATGTGGGTGTTTGCCCATAATCCATGATTCGCATTTGGACAGAATCGAGCCAGCAGATACTGTGGCGCCTGTTGCGAAGAGAGGGAGACAGTGAACAGATTCCCCGCCAATGTGTCCAAGTCATGCGTGCCACAAGTCAAGGGTGGGTGTGATGTGTGCAAACACTGTGAGGTCAGGAGGTGAGGATGGTATATTAGGCGTTGTAGCACTTGAGCTCGCGCTAGGCTCGTATTCAGTTGTTTCACGATTCATGTCAAATGCCCGTCACACGTTAATCACTTCCAGCGGATCCGACACTTTGACTAGCAGACCTGACATTTCAGCCACAGCGGACCCGATATTTTCCCGTGCACTTGTCCTATCCGTGTCCCGTCCCGTCTTGCTAGCCCCACTAGGTGCGTAGTTCATTATTCCACACATTCCTCACGTCGTAGCAAGCGCTATTACATGTTTTTCCATAGTCCGCAGCGCCTCATGTTTATTTACATGTACTTTGGATCCGAAATCATCGGCCGCTACCTTCGCCTACGGGTTCCGCATTTCTACGTACTTACATATATATTGGACTGACCTCGAGCATTATTGATCATCCAAGTAGGGGAGAGCCGTTCTCCGACACTTTGCGGTCAAACCCGATATTTCGTAGTTCTTAGTTGACATTGCAAATATTACCACTCTTTCTATCCGAAAACACCAGTCATTATCGATATTCCACATACCACTCGCTTTCCCGACATTCGCTATCACCATTCTCCATAATCCGCTAAAGACGCACCTGAAACCCGCTAGTCCGCTAACCCGAAAACATCGGACCCGACGCTTTGGCGTCGGACTCGTGGTTATACCTTCGGACTTTGCTTCCCGCGCTCGGACTTTTGATCATTTGACATTCCACCGTTTACAGACTAATACCAGATAGCTAACCCCTCGGGTCGAACGCACTTGTCTACAAGTATAGCAGACTAGGCCGCGCAAGACCACAACATTTTGATATTGCTGATTACTTACTTCATGTAGTATCCAGCAATTGTTGTCTCGTTACAGCGTCATCAAGGGAGATTGGGCCATGGGCGCAGGGACAAACTCTAGATTCACATAGCACAGGTTGTTTGCCATGGGAATTGTGCCTAGGTCAGTGCCTCGATATACCAGTTCACAGCATGAAGGTGAGGATCGAAATATGCAGTCCCAACCCTTGCTCAACATCCAACCAACTGACAACAAATTTAACATTGCAGATGGTGCATGTAAACAGTTCGAGAGTCAAACACAATGTTTGGTGCCTCCAATTGAAAGAATGGTGACACAGTCTCCTCAACCTGAAGTAGACAGGCTTCCATGATTCACTGTATGTACTGTGACGGCATCTGCAGTCAAATAAGACCAGAAATATGACTTGTCGCAAATGAGTGTTGTTGTCGTTCCTGAGTCGAGGATCATGTTGAAGCCTGAAGCCACAAGGTATGATAGCGCTGCAGCATCTGCAGGAGTGCTGTCTGGAATCTCACTAATGACGGCACAAGAAAGGTCCACGAGGAAGGTATCTGCTGCTGTCCCTATACCTGCAAATGCTGCTATTGTAGGAGATGCAGTATTAGGCGTAGGAGTGGGTGCAACAACAACAGCTGCAGTCTCCTTCTTCTTGTGTTTTATCCAAGGAGCTTGACCCTCCATCCCACTGCCCTTTGTGTAGCAATATGCATGATCATGGTCTCCTTTATTGCATCCAACAGTCATACAGAATATCCCCTCTGGATTGTGCCTATGTTTGCAAAGACCAGTGATTGAATTAATGT